GCGCTAGGGTTGGCCTCCGAGTCGCCTCAGAGGAGGCGACGCGGGGGGTGCCGTGGGTCCGACAGACAGCACATGTTCATTATAAAATGGAGAGAGATTTTCACCTCCCGGCCTCTGCACCAATCAGGGATGCATACAGCCATTTTAGTATGAGTACCAGGATAAACATGATCCTCAGATTTTTTTTTTAAATGAGTATCAAGATATTTCTCGATGTAGGTTCCCCTACACACCAAGCTTGATCCTCAGTAAACGTTCTAGGAATTGAACTAGGGTCGCTAGGCTGCACAACCGCAATGCCCAACCAGGGCCGGCCCTAGGGCATGGGCGACGGGGCGACGGCCCAGGGCCCTGGCGAGGGGGGGCCCATGATGGAGTATATACATATACTATAGCCCAGCAAAAAGCAAAAAAAAATTACAAAAGAATTAAAGAAAAAAATACGATGGGCTAGGAGGCCCAGATATAGCTACTAGCTAGCGATCGCTGGATACGCGAAGGCCAAGCGGCACCGTGACTCACGCTGGTTTCTACGTTTCCTCGTCGCCCTCGCACGCCCGTCGGCCTTATCGCTCGTCGCTCGGCGCCTTGCCCGTTGGCCCTTGCCGCGTCGCCGTCGCCTCGCCGGCTCGCCATCGCCGCCACACAGCAGTTCGACAGGCAGGCGGCAGCCCGGCCATCCGGCATCCGGCACCGCGGCAATACGGCAATATCTATACGAGTACGCATCTGACTGGAAGTCAACAAGTACGCATCCATGTTTCCTGTCCATCCCCAAACCTGAATTCGACAATCTCACTATCTCAGTAGTTTATTTATTCTTTATTTAGTATGTACGTATTCTAATCCAATCTATCAATTTTTTGTCATTCTATATAACATGTCTAGGGTTCCAATCATCCGATCTATAAACTCCTAATTCTTTGTATGCTATTTTGATCTTTTCCTCATGATTTTAGGACATTAGCCTGCCATGTTACCTAAGAAGAAGCAATTGTCGGGTGCTGAAAAAAGGAGGAAAAAGAAAGAAAGTGATCTGAAAATTCTAGCACTGAAGGATATCTTGGACAATGTTGATCTTGATTGTGCCCTTAATGACTTCGCATCAAGAAATGCCCGAAGAAACTTTTTTTGAAGCACTGAAGTATTATTGTTGTCGATGGAGTCAGTCTAATTTCATTCTTATTTGAGGTAATCATGTCATGTTAGTTTCATTTTGCGATCTTTTTAGTACCATTATTTTTTATGGAGTCGGTTCGAATTTGATTATTATTGTTCTCGATGGAGTCATTTGAATTATTATAGTCATATTTTAAACTAAAGATGTGTGATTGAAAATTACTTTTAATAAATTATATATATAACATACGCATACATATATATTGTCTTAGGACTTAGGACATAGGGGCCCATGTCGTCGAGTTCGCCTAGGGCCTCCCGAAACACAGGGCCGGCCCTGTGCCCAACCACTGAGCCAAGGCTCTCTTTGCGATGGTCTGTTGGTTGCTCTTGTTTGGATCTTGATGCTGGTGACATTGTTAGAGATGTCTAAGAATGCGATTTGATCGCTTCCTTTTGCGTTATCTTCCCTAGTAATAGTGCGTGTGTGATTAGTTGTAGGTCGCGGGGTTGTGCTTTGTGGTCGAACCAGTTAGTTTCTTTAACACAAATCAGAAGGGGGCCCTTCTTTCATAAAAATAAATAAAATGGACCGGGGGAGCATTGTTCGGTCGCAAGAGGTCGCTAGAGCAAAGATTGAATTAAATGCGTTGCACGCAGCAGCAAAAGCATCATAACGGTAGAGTCATGACTTGCAGCTGCCCCAGACCCCAGCTGCACCGCACCGCAGCGCACAGGCAGCACCGCCACCGAACCGAACCATGCATGCCGCGCCTCGCGAGGCGCGCTCGCCACTCGCCGGGCGGGAGCGCCTGCCTGCCTCCCTCCCTCCCTCCCTCCCTCCCTCCCTGCATGCGCTAGCTAGCTAGGGCTGCGCAGCGCCGCGCCCGCCAATCGCCGCGCCGCCACTCGTCGCGCCACCTTCCTGTCCGCTCGACACGGCACGCAGCACATGCCGCGCATGCATGCATGCATGCAGAACCCGGGTTAAATTAAAGTATTCCTACCAGTAGCGTCCAAAGTTTCGGTTCTCCAGTGGGGCCGGCCGGAGGAGAGGACCAAACAGTAGGACATGCATGTCCCACGTGTAGACCTTTGGCCACTGAGGTTTCGTGTACAAGGGAATACGTAACTACGGACCGTATGTGTAGGAGTACGTGCCATGCACCCAAGGTTGCTGCAAGTAATGTGCCAGTTCCATGCACCCCAAAAAAAGTAATGTGCCAGTTACCGTATGCTAGCACTGCAGTGTATCTATGGGCTTGTCTAGATTATTTGGACTAGAGTTTCGCTAGGAAACGGACGAGCCATCGGACGTACGCATGGTGGCGTCGTAGGTACGTAGTGCGGTGCTCCTGTGCGCCACGTGCTAAGAGTGTTTCGTCACCACCTTTGATTTCTTTGGACGATAGGGTTAGATCATTTCGGATTACTCTCACAAATTTGTACGTATATGTAAAGTCTATGCCTTATGCTCGCCAACACGTGTGGAGATACGCGTACGCTAGGCGGTTTTGGCGTTGGTTGTTGGTGAGCAATGTTATTATATATAACGTCTACCATACCTAATACCCCTACGCATTTATACAGACTGGGAAAAGTACTCCCAAGCCATTATCTCAAAGGAACATATATGTTCTGTGCATAAGCATGTACATAAGTACATTGCACCTGGACAACAGGATGAAACAGGGGACGGGAAAGCAAGCAATTCCTTAGCGCGAAACATCGACCTTGTCGTGGAAGGAAAAAACGTGAAGGGCTTTGTGGTGGAGGAGCAGCACCCGGTTGGCGGCTAATGTCGCAGCATCTGCCAACGTGACCCCACCCCACGCCCCATGAATGGAGCGGCAGCCAGCCAGTGACCGCGGCGGGACGCGCCACGGGGGACGAGGCGACACGAAGCGAGCAGGCGCGGTGCGGCGAACGCGATCGCGCCGCGCATGCAACGGGCCTCTCGCGCCTCCCCGTGCCCGCCCGCCCGTCCGGTGCCTCCCCCCACTCCGTCACACGCCTGACGCCCCTCTCACTGGACGCCACTGGAATCCACAGTCCTCTCCCTCCAAAGCAGCGCGCCCCGCGACTCGCCTCCGCCTACGTGTCGGCCCCGTCCCCGCCCGCTCGCCCACGTACCCCGCGCCTCGTTCCCACGTGCCCCTCCCTCTGCGCGCATCCGATTGGCCGCCCACGCCTTCTTAAGCCGGCACGGCACCGGGACCCAACGCCGTGCACTCCGTCCACCCCCGTCAGCAGACTTCGACTCGCGCGTGCACGCAATGGCCATGGTGCAGCCGGCGGACATGGCCGTCAAGGCCAACGAGATCCTCGCGCGGTTCCGGCCCATCGCGCCCAAGCCCGCCCTGCCGGCGTCGCCGGTGCAGGCGATCGACGGCGCCGCCGACCGCGTGCTCTGCCACCTGCAGAACAGGCCGTGCCGGGCAAGGAAGCGCGGGCGCCCGAGCGCCGTGCCGGTGTCCGCGCCGGCCGCTGCCGCCAAGAGGAAGAGGGCGGCGTACCCGGTGCCGCTCCGGTGCGCGGCGGCGGCGGCCACCGACGCGGTGGTGTCCACCGCGACGAGGGCCTATGTGTCCGTGCCGGGCAGTGCATGCATGCCGTTTGCGTCCCTCCCGCCGGCGACCGCGAGTACCGGCGGGAATCTGACGATGCTCTCGACGACCATGGTGGCGGGCGACGACGAAGAGGAGGAGAGGGACGTCCCCGTGGAGCGCGACCTGCTGCGGAAGCTGCTGGAGCCCAAGGTGATCTCGCCGCGGGCGATGCGCCCCGTAGGATCCACCATCCACGTCGAATCCATCGTCCCCGGCGCCGTCGACGCGACCAGCACCGCCGCCTCGAAGACGGCGGAGGAGGTGGAGGCGGAGGTGGAGACCGACGCGCTCCCGGCGGTCGTCACGGACTCGAGCAACCGCGTCCGGCTGGTGAACGACGCGTACAAGGAGATGGTGGGCGCGCCCGAGTGCCTGTGGCTCGGCGCGGTGGCCGCGTCGAGGAGGATCAGCGGGGAGGTGGCGCTGGTGGTGGCCGAGCAGGCGACGCTGCCGGAGTCCCCAGGGGGGTTCTCGTGCACGGCGAAGATCGAGTGGGAGTGCCGCGGCGGCGAGCGGGCTTCCTTCCATGCAGCGTGCGACGTCAGCCGGCTGCAGTGCGAGTACAGGCACTACCTCTTCGCCTGGAGGTTTCGCACCGCCGATGCATCATCGTCCGGCAGCAGCCACCGCGCCGGCGGCGACGCATGAGACACTCAAGACCCCAAGCAGCGTGCGAAACTAAGTGCATAGGTCATAGATTAAGGTGCATGTTTTGTTACTGTTAAACTACTAGGTTAAGGTGCATGTTTAGTGGTACTGGTAAACCTAGGTGAACTGTTTCCTTTTTTGGGAAGCCTGCATGGTGCATGCCCGGGTTCTAAAGTACATATGATGTTGACCGGACAATGCAAGGGAAAAATATGACGTGTGCTTTAGTCAATTGCACGTCTGCTGTTGTGTTCTGAGATAGTGAGCTTCTTGTACTCCGTTTGATAATGACTGGTGATTGCCTACGTATGTAGGGACAGGGCAGGATGTACAAAAGCCTAGCCACAGACTGGCAGCAGTCACGATCTACCTGGCCTTCTTTGCGTGCACTAAGTTGACAAATATAGTATTAGTAGCCAAGAAATTCTGTGTGAAGGGGAATTTTACAAGCATTTTGATGAGATGAGCGACGAGTTCAGTTGCAATGCGTGCTTATTACACGTTTAATGGAGACATGTTCTAGCTCATATTGCACGACAGGTATTGAACAAAGTGAAATCAGCACGAGCGGCAGGGGAAAACAACATCTTATGAAAATCTCCAGACAACATACAAATCCACAGCTTAGGCTGCTTCCTCCGTCTTCGGGGGGCCCTTCCACTTGAAGTTCTCTGCATACGTTTTGGGCTGCATGATTGAATATCAACCGTTAATTACGAGTATAACAGCCAATCCATCCTGTAAATACAACCTATACAAACAGATCGCAAAATTATGCTTATTATACCAAAGTATCGTGTGTGTTAGTTCCATGAATGAAAAGACGATCTATTTTTGCTATTTCGAAGCAGGGTAAACGAACTATAATTAAGAACTCAGACCCTGTCCAACCTATGTGCAGGAGTAACATGTAAATATTTAGTGTAGAGTTGTAATTTCATATATTCTTTAGGGCCTGTTTGGACTGGGGGTATCCGTACGAGCTTTGGTACTTGGTTAGAATTTAAACTAAGTATCGAAACTATGCTCTTCTTCCAAACTGGCCCTTAATCTTTCTGTCCGAATCCGATGTCTTTTTTTTAGGTGATTCACTTGTATGCGATGACTCTAGAGAATCATATAACCTACTCCCTCTGGCCCAAAATATAAGTGTCAAAAATGATACTCCCTCCGTTCACTTTTGTAAGTCGTTTAAGACAGCTGAAAATTGAACTATTTTAGATGTTGTCTTAAATGTCTAAAACGTCTTACAAAAATGAACAGAGGGAGTATTATATTTTGGGATGGAGGGAGTACTTGCTAACATAAACCTGAAAGCCCTGGTAATATAGTTGTGTTTGTGGGATAGCGAAGTCAAATCCTTTGGCAGGGGATATGACGAGTGCACACACGGTGATAGAACTGCCAAAACAGTGGTCTCCTTGCATCAGTGGGAACATTGGTTCAAACAGTATGGCAGCCAGTACTGACTAGCTTGTCCTCATCGAGTTGCTAGTAACAAAAAGATAAGGGTCGAGGAGCATGGTATCACTCTGTCTCTGGTCAAGTGCACATTCGATGTACTTCTAAAGTTGATGTCAGTTTTGGCTTCTCTCTACAACCTTTGACTTTTAAGTCCTGAGAACTAATGGAGAACCCGGACCAATGTCTAGCTAGTTTTCATGGATGAGATGAGCGCCTTCAGTTCAAAGTGCCGGTCTGCCGGAGACACGAATAATGTGAACGTCAACAAATTTGGTCAGGCGCTGTGACAAAGAAGCAACGGGCTACCCATTAAGTCCCAGTGCCCTCCGTCATGGGGTATTCGCAGACTCCCGGTGCTCAAGGACAGAAAACCGAATCTTAAAATTCACAGAAAGTTCCGAAAACAGGTCATGGCATTGACTTTATTAAGACGTAAATTTTCAAATCCAAATCTAAAACAGTTTAAAAACACAAAAAGAACAAATACAGTGTTTATAGTGTACTGATAATGTGCCGAATTCACAACCCAGTTTGAACTAGCTACTATTCAGAGGTAGATTAGTCTCTTGTTTTTGGAGTAACTGGTCAAATTTGGATCAAATTTTGTGAGACACTAGATGCTCTTACATGGGGTGTCAACAGTGTGTTGTTTCTCAGAATTTTTGGCGGTTTCTAGAAAGGAAAAAACACTTGCGTGCACCGGGAGTACGTAAATTCTCCCGTCCTGCCTTGTCTACACATTTCGGTCCTTTATTGACCCCAAGTTGGTCTTCACCCAGTACCATGACATTTCATTCTCCCTTACCTCTAATATCCCAAGATGCCCCTGGCACCATTGCCCTCCACCACGTAGGTGGCAATACCCAAGACACCGCCCTCACATCCACCTTCCATATATGCCATAATTCCATCTCCACATCATTTCCCGTAGTATAATGGACTGACATAATTTATTGCATCTAACATTGATTGCATTACTTGTGGAGTTACACGCACTAAGTGCTTACCATCAAAATCATCTCCAATGTTTTTCTTTACCAGCAGATTTTACTCGCTTTCTTGCTTACAACTCAATGTTAAATACTCCTATGACGATATATCCATGTTGTATTGGGAAAACAACTCAAAAGTGTGCAAGCACACACTGAAAGTGATGATACATGTAAACACAAACAGATTTAAAAGACATGTAGGATATACAGAAAAGGTGTATTCAGTTTTTGTTTTTTTTAAGATGCAAGATATGAACTGTGTAAAGCAGGAAGATGCATTAACCAAGTCAAAACGAAGGATATGTAGGATATACAGACCTTCAGAAGAGGTGTATGGCGCTTCCTAACCTGCAGAAAGATAGATATAAATGTAAGTATACAATTCTCTTTTTCAAAGAAATATAAATGGCGCATTCCAAGAAGAATGTGTTATCAAATAATACTACACAACAGCGCAAGGAGATTCAACTCAGCATACATTTTACTCCAGAAATAGACTTGATTTATGACAGCTTCAGCTAAAAAATGTTCCTTGCAGAGTAACACCAAAACCCTCGGTGTCGCTAAATTTGGAAAGAATACAGTGAGCCCATAGATGACAACCTCTGGCTCTAATGGGTTTCAGAGAAAAGGAAGATATAAAAGTTTGACTTCTAGTGGACATAATTTATAGCATATCTCCAAGACATATAAAGGATATATCATATATTATCTTCAAAACATTTAATAGCAATCTAATCAAACAACTGACCTTTAAGTCATGTGGCATAAATGATAAATTTCAACGCAGAACAGATGAGAGGTAACTTGCGGAGAAAAGAATTTCAGCTAAATTAATTGAGCAAAATGACCAAGATAAGAACTATTCAGCAAAAATTTCGAGGAGGCATCAACAGGCAGCAGCCGAGACATACTTAAATGCCTATTTATCAAGAACAAGGACTTCACAGTTACTGGAAAATAAACTTCATATGGAGTATATGACTAGCATGAAATCTATCTCTATATGTACTTCATCAAATAGGCCTAGCCCAGTTTGGAAATGCACCTATGGGATGATGGGAAACCTTTACGACCTGCCCAGCTTGAACATTTTAATTAGAAGAAGAATCAAGAATTGAATTATCCTAGATGTTCAAAAGTGTAACCAATCATTGTTTGATCTTTCCCAATATTCCTGAAGTTCCAGTCCTGAATAGAACATCTTATTGGCCAAGTCAACTTATCTACCAGAATACCAGCGAGGGGGGAAAAGAGTCAAAGACCCACCACATATTCCCATCCGTGCTTTTCAGCAAATGCCTTCGCTGATTCGGCACTGTCAAACGTAAGTCCAGCTTCACCAACATTAGCATACGGATCACCAGTCGATGTCCATCCCATCAATGGGTTCTCCCACCTATCACGAATTCAAATGTTAGAACCAGTTTCTCAAAAGAAAAAGAAGATATTTTAGAAGGAATAGTATCTGATAGTATTAGTTTGCTAACCAAACCCTAATCCACAGAAACGAGTGATGAACATGCTAAACGGAATAACTGCATGAGCCGTGACATGAGCCACACAATAAAGGACACGCTAACACCTCAACAAAGAGACCTGCTCAATCGGAGGTAAAAAATCAGCTGTGGGCTTTAATGCTGTCACAGTATAATAATCAATGGAACCTCTAAACATCCAGCACAAATAGGTACAGGATGCATTTAAGTACGTTCCAATCAGGCTACTGAAAGTCTGAAACATAAATGACCTGCAGCAGCAGTGGCAGAGCATTCTTTTCATGTTCTTATCCTCAATCAAGGTAATACACCAGAGGTTTCAAATATTAATTGTGAGATATAACAAGTAAAAGAGCGCAGATATGGCATCCAGTGCCCCTGGTAGAACCAAAACCCATTACATAATTTTATGGTACTACTACACATGTAGACCACTTCCGTAATACATATAATAAATATAGAAGGAACTCCTCACATGTCATTCTTGTTTAAGTTCAACAAATAAGAACCAATAACACACAGCACCTCAGGGAAAAAAACAGAACACTTCCAGTATTAATAAATACTTCCTCCATTCCTAAATATAAGTCCTTTTAGAGATTTCAAATGGACTACCAAATACGGATGTATATAGACATATTTTAGAGCATAGATTCATTCATTTTGCTTCGTATGTAGTCACCTGTTGAAATCTCTAGAAAGACCAATATTTAGGAACGGAGGGAGTATAACTATGTTGGAGATGTTTGTTAATTTTTTGCCCAGCTCAACGATGCTTAAAGGGAATGCCTGGGCCTCATCAATTCTTCATAAACATTACTCCCCCCGGTCCAACATAAGTGTCGCAGTTTTGAACTAGGCGTTAGTTCAAAACTGCAACACTTATTATGGATCGGAGGTAGTTCAATAATCAGTGAGATATGGTATAGTCACAGGTATAATCACATCTTTCATCAAGTTGATTGTTCATTCAAACTTACCAAAAGTGAGGTGATTGCAAACAACAATTGTTCAATAGATATACTCATTCTGATAATATCTATGATACGGATTTGTGCTTGCATAGGTGGACTCCCACCATTTCAACCATTGAATGGGCCTGGAGATCTGCATATTCACTAACTGCACACTCATAGCCATAGCAATGAGAGAATGTGCACAGAACTCAAGGCAAATTCAGTGGTTGAGAAGTGGTAGTATTATATATAAGTGCCTCGATAAATACAATACCTACCACTGAGCTAAGATTATAGTAACCCAAAGCGAAACTGCACAGGCATGATGTATAAGAACATTCGGAAGTTAGCTGGAACTACAGTCTAGCTGCACAAGCAGGCAAGTAGTAGCCTAGTACCTCAGTCACTGATAGTTTGAACTATTAACTGCCTCATGTGAGTGCTAGTTTGTTATTAACAGAAGCATATTTATAGTTTTGATCTGCTTGAAAGCTAAGTTTTGAATTTAAAAATTTAAGTCTAGGTTAAATTTACATGAGGCTTATTTTAATTTCGTTTTATTTTGAGGTAGCCCTTCTGACAGCATCACAGGCTTTTGGGATGTATGACCCGTGAGAAAGAACAAGATAACCAACAAAGTACAACAAGAAACATACTTTTGGGTTGACACGAAATTGATTTTCCACCTCCCGACTTTGCCAGAACCTTGCTGAGATGCAGTCCTAGCTGGTGAATAGATTAGAACCTGCTTGATCACAAGGATAAGGTGACCTTTAGAAAAGGGGCAAAATGATGAAATAAAAACAACTTGGGCTTTAGCACCAATCCTCTGAAAGTGAATTCGTGAAATAAAATCAGGTATTTAGGCTTTACAGTTTAGGACCTATCCTTCTGAAAGTTTTATAACTAGCACATAACCCATCATACCGCAAACACCAAAGATACAGTTTCTGACCCAAAACTGTCAACTCCCATTCGAATATTCTTTGAGGCAAACATATAACTGACGACTGTGGACAATGCACAAATCTATTCCAAGGTCTAAACTATGGCAGAATACAAAGCAAACTAGGGTCATTTATCCAAAGTCACAGAGCGCAAGGAGAATTGCTGCCCTTGACCTCTCTCTCTCTCTCTCTCTACCCATTTTTCATTTTCCCAGATATAGGAGTCTCTCATCCGAATCCCCCAAGATGGTCAAACTCAAACACACTTTGCCCCATATCATCATTGGGTTGGAAATTCGGTATAATCTATGCGGGGGAACCCAAACTCCCACACATTCCTCCTCACCACATCTGTGGCCAATTGAAAGAGACCTACTACCGCTAAATTCGCATTTCGATCAAATCCAAACTCCAACCACAACTAACGCATAGACACATCGCCTCGACGCCTATAACAACCTAAAATGCTTGAAGCCCGAACATTTCGAAAGATGCCCACAGAGATCCAGCTGATATAAATCTATCGCGACGAAAGTGAAGCAGGGAAGGTCGAGGGAACGTTACCTTGCGGCGGAGGTGCTCCTCGGGGATCCCGGAGACCATGCCGATCTCCCCGGGCTTGATCTCCACGAGGGCATCGGAGGCCTCCGCGGAGAGCATCCGCGCCGGCGTAGGCGAGAGCAGGGCCCGGCCGAGGGAGGGGAAGACCCGCCGGAGTGGGGCGGCCATCGCGTCGGAGCCGTGCGCCGGAGAGAGGTGGGGGCGAAAGGAGAGATGCGGGGGAGGAGGAGCTTCGGAGCAGACGGCCTGCAAATGTGCGATCAGGCCGCACCGAGAATATGATGAGCCCAGAGCAGTATAGGGTGTCCATTGCTCTCTGGGCTCGGCCATTGGGCCCTGTAGATCGTTATCGTACAGGCCTACGCCATAAAAAAAATGTGGCACCAGCGGTCACGACTTGAATGGCTTTCAGCAAGAGACCAGAACACGCGTTTCTTCCACCTTCGGGCTAGCCAAAGACGCAAGAGAAATATGATCAAGGCACTTGCAAATCTCTTAGACGTCATCACAGAGGATCCGGAGGAGCTGAGGACCATGATTGCGGATTTTTACAAAAGCCTATATACTTCCGAGGGTGCAGTCGGCATGGACCAAGTCCTATCTACTGTGCCGGTGAAGGTTACTCAGCACATGAATGATCTTCTGACATCACCCTACACTAACGAGGAAATAAAAACAGCTCTTCTTCAGATGTTCCCCACAAAGTCACCGGGACCGGATGGCTTTCCAGCTCATTTTTATCAGCATCATTGGGACATTTGTGGAGACGAGGTCACCCGTGCAGTGCTGAGAATTGTTAGAGGTGAGGAGAGTGCCGACTATGTGAATGACACGGTTCTTGTGCTCATCCCAAAGGTTCTAATTCCAACCCATCTTTCTCGGTTTCGCCCCATAAGTTTATGCAATGTCATTTACAAAATTGCTTCCAAGGTTGTTGCAAATAGGCTCAAGCTAATTCTTCCGGATATAATCTCACATGAACAATCAGCTTTTGTTCCCGGGAGGCTAATTACTGACAACATTATCTGTGCCTATGAGTGTCTACATTTTATGAAGCGAAGCAAGGCCAAGTCCAATAGTTTTGTGCTTTAAAACTTGATATGATGAAGGCATATGGCAGGCTTGAGTAGTCCTATTTACAGGCCATTATGGAGAAACTTGGTTTTGCGCAAGCCTGGGTGGTGACAGTGATGAGTATGGTCAAATCGGTTACTTTCTTGGTGTTATTCAATGGAGAAAAGCTAGAACAATTTACACCATCGAGAGGTATTCGACAAGGAGATCCCATCTCCCCTTACCTTTTCTTGATTGCAGCAGAGGGCATTTCGTGCCTTTTAAAATCCATTTCTGAATCGACAATTCTTGAAGGGATTAAGGTTGCGCCAACAGCTCTGGCTGTGAACCACCTCCTTTTTGCTCACGATAGCATGTTGCTTTTTAAGTCAAGTGTTGAGGGTGCGACAGAGGTATCAAACCTGCTGAATATATATTGTAATGCTTCGGTGCAAAGGATAAATCATGACAAATCCTCAATTTTCTTCAGTAAAGGGTGCCCTCAAGAGAGGAGAGTCAATATTAAGAACACCTTGAATGTTCACAATGAATCTCTGAGCGACAGGTATCTAGGAATGCCTACGGATGTTCGCCAATCCAAGATGGGCACTTTTAAGTACCTGCGAGACCGTGTATGGGGAAAGGTGAGAGGATGGATGGAAAAACTCTTGTTGGCGGCGGGAAAGGAGGTGTTGATTAAAGCGGTAACTCAAGCTATTTCGGTATATTCTATGGCTTGCTTCAGATTACCACGAGGCCTCTGTGAGAACATAACTTCAATAATAAGATAGTTTTGGTGGGGGAGCAAGCATGGCAAGAGGAAACCTTGCTGGGTGTCTTGGGATGTTATAACAAAACCTAAGCATTTAGGCGGTTTGGGCTTTGGAGACATGGAGATATTTAATCTTGCTTTGCTCGCTAGGCAGGCTTGGAGGCTATTAGACGATCCAAACTCCCGTAGTGCAAGACTCTTGAAGGCAACATGTCTCCCGAATGGATGTATACTTGATGCAGAATTGGGAAAGCACTCGTCTCAGATATGGCGGGCGATTATCGACGGAAGGGACATCTTGAAGCAGGGCTTAATTAAAAGGATAGGTAATGGAGCTTCAACTGACATTTGGGAAGATAACTGGATCCCGAGTGTGTGACCCATGAGACCTATCACTTCGTTGATCCCTAACCCGCCAAGGATGGTTTCTGAGCTCATTGACATGACCACTGCCACATGGAAGGAAGGCCTTATGAGGTCGTTCTTTCTCCCCTTTGATGTGGATGTCATCTTGACAATACCGCCGTGCACGAGAAACATGAGTGACTTTTGGTCATGGAGCGATGAACGTCGGGGTTTCTTTACTGTCAAATCTGCTTATCAGATGGTGTTGCAACACAAAGCTGTAGAGAGAAAACTGGTTGGAGGAAAACGCGGGCACCTCGAACACGGTGACAAAGAGCGAGGCTTGGACATCTCTGTGGCGGATCAAAGTGTCGTCGAAGCAAAAGATTTTCGTATGGCGTCTTACTCGGAGTTCGGTGCCAACTGCTGATTTACTACACCACCATCATATGGCAGAATCACCTTTGTGAATTCTGTGCAGAGCAAGAGACTCATGGAGGCGTGCTTTACTAGACTGCATGAAGGAAATATGCCCTAGAGGCAATAATAAAGTTATTATTTATTTCCTTATTTCATTATAAATGTTTATTATTCATGCTAGAATTGTATTAACCGGAAACTTAGTACATGTGTGAATACATAGACAAAAAATATTGTCCCTAGTATGCCTCTACTTGACTAGCTCGTTAATCAAAGATGGTTATGTTTCCTAACCATAGACATGTGTTGTCATTTGATGAACGGGATCACATCATTAGGAAAATGATGTGATGGACATGACCCATCCGTTAGCTTAGCATTATGATCGTTACAGTTTTATTGCTATTGCTTTCTTCATGACTTATACATGTTCCTCAGACTATGAGATTATGCAACTCGCGAATACCGGAGGAACACTTTTTGTGCTATCAAATATCACAACGTAAATGGGTGATTATAAAGATGCTCTACATGTGTCTCCGGAGGTGTTTGTTGGGTTGGCATGGACCGAGATTAGGATTTGTCACTCCGTGTTTCGGAGAGGTATCTCTGGGCCCTCTCGGTAATGCTCATCACTATAAGCCTTGCAAGCATTGTAACTAATGAGTTAGTTGCGGGATGAAGTATTACGGAATGAGTAAAGAGACTTGCCGATAACGAGATTGAACTAGGTATGATGATACCGACAATTGAATCTCGGGCAAGTAACATACCGATGACAAAGGGAACAACGTATGTTGTTATGCAGTTTGACCGATAAAGATCTTCGTAGAATATGTAGGAACCAATATGACCATCCAGGTTCCTCTATTGGTTATTGAACGGAGATGTGTCTCAGTCATGTCTACATAGTTCTCGAACCCGTAGGGTCCGCACGCTTAACGTTCGACGACGATATGTGTTATGAGTTATGTGTTTTTTATGACCGAAGTTTTTTCGGAGTCCCGGATGAGATCAGGATGTGAAGAGGAGTCTCGAAATGGTCGAGACATAAAGATTGATATATTGGACGGCTATATTCGGACACCGGAAGTGTCCGGAAAGTTTCGGGTAAAACCGGAGTGCCGGAGGGGTTACCGGAACCCCCCAGGGGAACTAATGGGCCTTAGTGGAGAGAGAGAGAGAGGCAGCTAGGGCAGGCCGTGTGCCCTCTCCCCCTTGGCTCCGAGTTGGACTAGGGAAGGGGGAGCCTTTCCTTCTCCCTCTCCCTCTCCTTCCTTCTCCCTCTCCCTCTCCCTCTCCTTCATTCCCCCTCTTTCCTAGTAGGACTCCCCTCTTGGGGCGCACCTACAGGGACCGGCCGGCCTCCCCCTTGCTCCTTTATATACGGGGGAAGGGGGTCACCCTAGAACACACAAGTTTCTCTCCCTACCGTGTGTGGTGCCCCCCTCCACAGTTACACACCTCGATCATACCACCATAGTGCTTAGGTGAAGCCCTACGCCGGTAACATCATCATCACCGTCGCCATGTCATCATGTTGAAACTCACCCTCGTCCTCAACTGGATCAAGAGCACGAGGGACGTCATCGAGTTGAACGTGTGCTGAACGCAGAGGTGTCATACGTTCGGTACTTGATCGGTTGGATCACGAAGAAGTTCGGCTACATCAACTGCGTTATTGAAACGCTTCCGCTTTTGGTCTATGAGTGTACGTGGAAACACTCTCCCCTCTCGTTGCTATGCATCACCTAGATAGATCTTGCGTGATCGTAGGATTTTTTTGAAATTACTATGTTCCCCAATAGTGGCATCCAAGCCAGGTCTATGCGTAGATGTTATATGCATGATTAGAACACAAAGAGTTGTGGGCGATAATAGTCATACTGCTTACCACCAACATCTTACTTTGATTCGGCGGTATTGTTGGATGAAGCGGCCTGGACCGACATTACATGATCACATTCATGAGACTGGTTCTACCGATGTGCTTTTGCATAAAGGTGTCTGGCGGGTGTCTGTTTCTCCAACTTTAGTTGAATCGAGTTTGACTACGACCGGTCCTTGTTGAAGGTTAAAATAGCACACTTGACAAAAAATCGTTGTGGTTTTGATGCGTAGGTAAGAACGCTTCTTGCTAGAAGCTCGTAGCAGCCACGTAAAACTTGCAACAACGAAGTAGAGGATGTCTAACTTGTTTTTGTAGGGTTTGTTGTGATGTGATATGGTCAAGGCATGATGTGATATAAATTGTTGTATGAGATGATCATGTTTTGTAACAAAGTTATCGGCAACTGGCAGGAGCCACATGGTTGTCGCTTTATTGTATGCAATGCAATCGCCATGTAATTGTTTTACTTTATGACTAAGCAGTAGTGATAGTCATAGTAACAATAGTTGGCGAGATGACAACGATGCTACGATGGAGATCAAGGTGTCGCGCCGGTGACGATGGAGATCATGACGTTGCTTCCGTGATGGAGATCATGAGCACAAGATGATGATGGCCATATCATGTCACATATTTTGATTGCATGTGATGTTTATCTTTTATGCATCTTATTTTGCTTAGTACGGCGGTAGCATTATAAGATGATCCCTTACTAAATTTAAAGGTATAAGTGTTCTCCCTGAGTATGCACGGTTGCTACAGTTTGTCGTGCCGAGACACCACGTGATGATCAGGTGTGATAAACTCTACGTTCACATACAACGGGTGCAAGCCAGTTTTGCACATGTA